GGCGCGCGGGTCGGGGCGGGGCGCGCGGGTCGGGGCGGGGCGCGCGGGTCGGGGCGGGGCGCGCGGGTCGGGGCGGGGCGCGCGGGTCGGGGCGGGGCGCGCGGATGAGTGGCCGCCCTCAGCGAGGTAGTCTCGGGCGTCCCCACTGCCCGCCACTGCCTGTGTTCGTCCGCCTGGTGGCCGGCGGTGTCCCGGGAGCCCAGTCCCCCTGAGGCACTGAGGTGGCGTCGGGAGGTCGCGGAAGACGCGGGCGCTGGACTCGAGACGGCCGCCGCGCTGACGCCGCGACCCGGCCTTTCTGACCCCTCCGCCGGGCGCCGCTCCTCTGAGCGGAGCCGGCAACCGCGCAGGGAAAGCCCGGGACCTGTAGCCGGGAGGGCCGGGGCTGTCTGGGTTCCCCCGCAGGCCGGGCAGTGGTGTGGGAGGACTCGAGCCCTCGGGGTCCCCAAATTAATCAATAATCTTGGACCCAGCACGTCCGGCTTGTGCGCTGAGTCCTCCGGCCCGGTCACCTTCGCAGGCGGCCTCTCACCCCACGCGGAAGTCGTCCACCAGCCGCACCCACACATCCCGGATCCACCCCCTCCCCAGCTGCACCCCCCCCCCCAGCGGCACCCCCACCCCCCCGATCCACCCCCCCCCAGCGTCACCCCTACAACCCGGATCCACGCGCTCACCACTGCACTCCCCTCCCCAACTGCACCCCATCCCCAGCGGCACCCCCAGACCCCGATCCACGCCCTCCCTGCGGCACGCCCACAACCCGGATCCACGCCCCGCCAGCGTCACCTCCCCTCCAACCGTGCTTTTCCGGAAGGCAGCGCTGCCCCCACCCCCGCCGCGCTGGTCCTGGCTCCTCTTGACCTGCTTGGAGCCGCCCCATCTGGCTGCTGTTCTGGGTTCCAGGACAGCCACGTGAGGGCTGTTTACAGAGGGAAAGAAGTGGCTCCTAACAGACGACAGACGCTTCTCAAAAGACACCTGCTCTTCCTGTAGAACAGACTTTTTCAGCAGGATTTTGCTTTCAGTGAAACGTGATTTGACTTGAAAAGGAACCCAGTGAGAAGTCTGAGTCCACAGCTGTCCGGGTGTGAGCGTGAGCGGGTAGAGGTGTGCCCTTGTTTGCCTCAGGCTGTCTGATTTTCTCAGGCTGTTTTTTCTGTTTCTGTCCATGGAGGAAGAGAAAGATGACAGCCCAGAGGTATGTAACTCAGGGGGCCAGATCCCTGGACTTCCCAGTTGGGGGGCATTTCTGGAGCCAGAGAAGGGTCCTCTTGGCGTCTGCTCTGCCGCGCTCTTTGGCCCCGTGGCTTCTTCGTGCCTGAGGACTATGGGAGTGGTGGTTCTGGCCCCTCTCTGCCGCCTGTCACGGCTGCCAGCGCGTGTTAGACGCATGAATTCACAGCGAGGACAGCCAGTGGTGCCCCATGGGCATTTTTTCACGGAGTTGGGGGGGTACAGCCAGCAGTGGCCCATGGGCATTGCCTGAGGCCTTGTCTTTTCTTCCTCTAAGGTCACAATTGCTACTTCCAGTTTTCCCTTAGGACTTTGCCTGATGATTTTGCTTCAAATCTTTTTCTTTCTTTCTTTTTTATTTTTTCCCCAAGACGAAGTCTTGCTCTGTCACACAGGCTGGAGTGCAATGGTGTGATCTTGGCTCACTGCGGCCTCCGCCTCCTGGGTTCAAGCGATTCTCCTGCCTCAGCCTCCCCAGTAGCTGGGACTACAGGCAAGCACCACCACACCCAGCTCATTTTTGTATTCTTAGTAGAGACCGGGTTTCACCATGCTGGCCAGGCTGGTCTCGAACTCTTGACCTTGTGATCTGCCTACCTAGGCCTCCCAAAGTGCTGGGAGTACAGCTATGGGCCACTGTGCCGGGCCCTAGAATCTTTTTCTTAGTCAAACATCTGTAGCCACATCACAAAGGCCTTTTTTTCCTAAACCAGAAAACTGGACCCATTAAAGCAACAGTGAAAAGCTAGAAAAGGCTGAGCTGCTCCACTGCAGGAGAGCGTGTGACCAGGTCACGGGCCATTGTGTGATAGGCCTTCCTTGGATAATCTGTCCCAGAAGCGCTTGCTGGGCTCAGAGGGACTCACTTTGCTTCCTTAAGTGAAGGACATGGTCGTAGGTGCCTCTGTGCACCCCACTGATTGAGAGTGAGCGTAGGGGTGCCCCTGTCCTGAAGCAGAAGCTCCCAGGGCTTGTATTTGCCTTCTGAACCAAGTTCAAAGGGCTCAGCTTTCTGGGCACATCCTCATTCAGTCTTGGTGCAGAATTGTGTCTTTGAAATGCGTTTGAGTGCCCTTCCGACTTCCCCGGATTTTCTTTTTTTCTTTTTCTTTTTTTTTTTTTTTTGAGACGGAGTCTCGCTCTGTCGCCCAGACTGGAGTGCAGTGGCACAATCTCGGCTCACTGCAAGCTCCGCCTCCCGGGTTCATGCCATTCTCCTGCCTCAGCCTCCTGAGTAGCTGGGACTACAGGCGCCTGCCACCACGCCCAGCTAGTTTTTGAATTTTTAGTAGAGACGGGGTTTCACCGTGTTAGCCAGGATGGTGTTGATCTCCTGACTCATGATCCACCTGCCTCAGCATCCCAAAGTTCTGGGATTGCAGCTGTAAGCCACCACATGTGGCCCTTCCCTGGATTTTCTGGCATGGATGGGAGTCCTGCTTCTCTGTAGCGGGAGACGGGGGTGGGTGCTGCTTTAGGCCTCGGCTCTTGTGTGGAAACTTGCAGGCTGAACCAGTGGCCTCCCCTGCCCTATCCAGTTCCTGGCTGCCTGGGAGGAAGATGTGATGCCAGCAGGAATGGAGAGGGCTGCCTTGTCTGGCTGGTGTCTTCTTGTTTTCTCTTTCACTTCTTGGGGAGCCACCAGCGTCCTCTGCTGTCGCTCACTCAGCATCCTGTCCTCACCCTGTCTTCCCTCCCTCCCGTGGACCTGGACTTCTGAAGTCCCGCTGCTCCAGGAGATGGCAGCACACAGAGGCTTCTCGGCCTCCCTCTCAGCCGCCACTGCCTCCTTGTCTGGCATGTGAACTGGTGTTAAATGTTCTCAGAATCCAGATGGCTCAAAGGGTTTTCGAGCACTGCTCCTGCTGGGGCTGAGGGGACACTGAGAGGGGGCCTTGGCCTCCCCTGTGGCCGGGCCTGCTCCCTGAGACTGCATCCCAGGGATCGTGTCACCAGCATGCAGGTGTGTGAGTGATGGCCCTGCCCCGCTGTGTCCCAGTGACCGAGGAAGCCAGATTGCTCTCTGAATGCTTCGTAGCGGGGGGCTCAGAGGACCCCGGCACCCCGGGCGAGATCACTGCTTGCTTGGTCTCCGGGGCTGCTGACTTCTGTCCTAACTCCCAGCTCTCCTTTTGCTGCTCTGAGCAAGTCTGGGCTGGGAAGCCCGTCCATGCCCGCCTGACCCCATGCTCTCTGCTGCAGGTTGGCTTCTGCCTGGGCACCGCTCTGCACTCTTGGGGGCTGTGGTTCACGGAGGAAGGTTCCCCGTCCACCATGGTAATCACCTCACACTTCCCTGGGGCCAGACCTGGATGGGCCGTGGCCTTTTTCACCTCTCCCTGCCCCCATCCCCTGGCTCATTCCTGCCAGCCTGTGGTTGGGGTGGGGGCAGGCTTAGGGCTAGGGTTGGTTTTGTGGCCTTGCTGATGGGCACCATGTCCCCACTCTTGGCCAGCTGACGGGGATTGCGGTTGGAGCCCTCCTGGCCCTGGCCTTGGCTGGTGTTCTCATCCTTTTCACATTCAGAAGGCTTAGCCAATTTCGTGAGTATCTTGGTTCTGACTCTGGCCTGGGGGGTTGGGGGAAAGCGTGGGTGCCTTGGGATGTGTTTTGAGCCCCTGGGAGGGGTCCTCAAGTCCACAGTGGGTTTGGCTAGAATCCAGTGGCCCATCTGGGCTCAGGCTGAGCACGTCGGTTCCAGGAAGCCAAGTCTGTTCAGAGCCCTTTCTGTTCTCCTCTCCTGAGCAAGGCTTCAGTGGGAAGAGGGGAGAGCCCCCTTTGTTGGAGGCGAGCCTGTCACCCAGGCCCCCTTCCCTCGTGCTGTCTGAGTATGGCCAGGTACTGGCGGGGACGAGAGTACTGACTGCGCACACCTGCATGTCCAGGACCAGGCCTGTGCCACGGCTCTACCTCAGGCCGTCTCTTCATTCCCCTGCAGGACAAGCGCAGCCCACTCCTCAGTACCGGTTCCGAAAGAGAGACAAAGTGATGTTTTACGGCCGGAAGATCATGAGGAAGGTAGCTGGTGCTCGGGGCCCCAGGTTGCGCACGGCTTCCCGGAGCAGGCCCCTGTGGGAGGGACCCCTCCTGCTGCGGGCTCCCCAAGTCCAGGCAGTGCTTGGCGTGTGCCGCCGTGTCCCCGGCTTCCCAGCTCTGCGACCAGGCTCAGGGTTTGGGGAACATAAATCGTGCCGAATGGTGTCTGCTTCCTCCAGCTGAATCCAGTGTGTTTTACCCAGAAATAAGCCCCCACCCTCTCAGGCCTCGGCTCCCCTTGGCCTGAAGGGGCAGCTCCGGGAATGTCTGTGGTGGACAGTGGCCGGAGGGGAGAGAAGGTCCTGTCTGCCCCTAGAGTGGATGTTTATTTTAACAAGAAATGAGAGCAGAAAGCTGCTTTGTAAGAACATCGCTGGGGCCTGGTGGGTGCAGAGGGCCTCACACTCTGCCAGAGGTTTCTGACTCTGGTGCTGAGCTTGGAGGTCTCTGCCAGGCTTTAGGGTGCTGGACTGAGGACAGAGTCCATCCCCCGGGATTGGAAGAGCTAAGTTCCCTGGTTACTGGCATGTGTGATCTAAGCTAAAAGCTGCGTGGCTCACTTTGAGTGTCTGGGTGGTTCCGGAACCTAGACACACATCCCTGGGCTGGGGCTCAGGAATCCGAGTTCAACAAGCCCCGATCCAGGGAATAAGCACCCTTGGTTTAACCCTTCCTGGGCTTCGGCCAGTTGGGTTGTCAGTGGCCTCCCCTGGCCGCCTCCTTGCACTCCTGAAGGGCCCAGGAAGTGCTCAACAGACCACCCAGAAGCTTCACAGAAACCACACAGACTGATCCCTTTAAAGCAATCTTTGTTACCTTTCTCTGGTTATACAGCTAATTCGTGTTCTTCACAGAAAATTGAAAAACTCGGCAGGGCGCGGTGGCTCACGCCTGTAATCCCAGCACGTTGGGAGGCTGAGGTGGGCCGATCATGAGGTCAGGAGTTTGAGACCAGCCTGGCCATCATGGTGAAACCCCATCTCTACTGAAAATACGAAAATTAGCTGGGCGTTGTGGTGGGCGCCTGTAATCCCAGCTACTCGGGAGGCTGAGGCAGGAGAAACGTTTGAATCTGGGAGGCGGAGGTTGTGGTGAATCGAGATCGTGCCACTGCACTGCAGCCTGGGCAACAAGAGCGAAACTGCGTCTAAAAAAAAAAAAAGAAAGAAAGAAAATTGAGAAACTCAAGAGGGGAGGGAGTGGGTGTCTGCGGCTCATCTGTTCTCATCAGCGTTAAGTGCTGTGAAAGGGCAGATGAGTTAGGGCTGCTGTATGCTGGGTCTGGAACAGGCTCAGGCGGCCGGGATAGGGCGTGGGGCGATCTGTTGAGTGTCGACCATCATCCAGTGGCCCCACAGAGGACAGGGAAGTGGAGGGCCTGGGAGGAAAGCCGCAAGGCCAACAGCTCTGTACTGAAGGGCAGCAGGCAGTGGTGCCCGAGTGAGGTGGCCCTGCCAGCATGCAGGGTGTGACCCAGGCCTCTGCTGTTCTGGGCAGTCAAGCAGGCACTGCCTGAGAAAAGGGAAGAAGACTGTTCCAGATATGGGACAGAGTGGGCAGTGGCCCCAGGTCAGAGGGGAAGTGATAGGGGGAAGGTCGGTGGGGACAGTGGTGGATTTTTAAAGGGTTATAGGAAAGGGTTGTGTTGAACAGCACGAAAGCCAAGGATGGAGTGGCTGTCAGCCTTCGGGGCAGCGGGGCCGGCCGGCATGAAGCCCTGGAGCTCTGGAGGGTTGGCTGTTTGGGGACAGTGAGGATGATCCCAACGATGTGTGGGGCTGTATCACTCACTGCCAACATCCCTCACAGGCCAGGCGGGGTGGGGAAATGGCACAGCCGGACCCCAGGAGCTGAAGCTGGGCCTGCGGGAGGCTCACAGGCAGGTTCTGAGGACTGACCCCCGTGACGAAGAGCCTGGACCTTGCGGCTTGCAGGGTCAGTGCCTGGTGTCTCCCTTGGCTCTGCAGGTGACCACGCTCCCCAACACCCTGGTGGAGAACACCGCACTGCCCCGGCAGCGGGCCAGGAAGAGGACCAAGGTGCTGTCTTTGGCCAAGAGGTATTGAGTGTCCTTCAGACCACATCCTGCCTGGGGTGCCCCCCACGGTGCTGGCTTCCCTGACCCTGGGCTGCCTGGCGTGTCGGCCACTGATGCTGTGGGTTTTGAACCCGCCTGGTCTGCTCAAGGCTACTGTGTCTCTGCCTGTAGGATTCTGCGTTTCAAGAAGGAATACCCGGCCCTGCAGCCCAAGGAGCCCCCGCCCTCCCTGCTGGAGGCCGACCTCACAGAGTTTGATGTGAAGAATTCTCACCTACCCTCGGAAGTTCTGTACATGCTGAAAAATGTTCGGTAAGAGCAGGGATGAGCCCCGAGGGCTGCTGCAGCTCCCGTCCTCCGGGCTTCTCACTGGGGACTGGCTCCAGCTTGGCTGTCTTGTGTTGGGGGATGGTTGGCAAAGCCCATCATGGGGCTGCTGGTGTCTGTGCCCCGTGGCAGGGCCTCGTGGTCTGCTGGCTCCTTCACCAGGTCTTTCTTGTTCTGTTGAACAATTTCCAGTATTTCATCTTCAGCAGTGAACCCAGAGCAAGAGTGAGAACGGTGTGGTGGATCCAAAGTCTGGAGCCTGGGTTCTGCTCTGTGCTCCCGTCTTGCTGACTGGCCCCTGGACTGCACCCCTCTTCCACTCCCTGGCCCAGCTCACCATCCTGGAGGCCACCTTTGCCTTCCTCCCGTGTGCGTGGGGCTCAGGTTCACAGGTCAAGAAGTTCTCTGAGCTGATGGAAAACAGGCTCATGGGAATTTCAGAAGTTGACAGTTGTGTTCGGCAGTGATGCCGTGTGGTTTGTTGGTCAGCCGCGTGGACCCACAGCACAAGGCCTGGCGCCAGTGGGGT